CCCAGGCTCTGAGAGGTTAAATAATGAGCCAGAAGTCACACAGGATTCTAACTCAAGTCTGTCTGACTACGTCGCCTTCTACCGCCCTACAACCCTACCGCCTCTCGTGGATTGATAGTAATCACTTTTTATAGCACCTTTTGTTGCTTCTCCTGTTTCTCCCTCATTTAACCTTGAGCATGGGTTTCTATGACTTGACTTGGAGCAGCTAGGTCATCTCTCTTAGCATAGGACACAACAGAAATCCACTACACCCACAGCTCCATTTCTAACCCTTGCACAACAAATTTATATATCTTATTCTATGGTTTAGATCATCATTGAGATGGCTCTTCTTGGCCCTTTAAGAAGCTAATTAATCACTAAATATAGACCACAACTTGTTGTTTTCAATCCTCTGCATGTTTCTTCCCCCCATTGTGTGATGCCATCTGGTGTTATGAGCTCATGCTTTTTGTGTTCCTTTGCAGAGAGCCAGATTCATTGCTCCCTAAACCCAGAAAGCCAGTTAATTTCAAAGTTTGCATGTGTGGCTTTGAAGAAAATTGGAATCTAATGCCTCCTTGTGGATTTTCACAGTATCACTTCTTCCTAGAACACCGCATGGAACGTCTGTCTTTACCACCATCTATGCATATATGTGCACTTGTCTTTTTATCGAAAGGACCTACTTTGTCTTTGGCAAGCCATCAAGCAACTACAGGTCTTTTCCTGTATGATTTTAGTCAAGCTCCATTTTGGCACTTTAATGTGTGTGCTGTAGGAAACCAAACCTTAATAACACGCTTTCCTCTTTGGATCTATTCAGCTTTGCTCTGTGACAGAGGAACAGTGTTTAAGAAGAAGGACATAACACAGCTAATGGCAGGTCTCTGACACTACCACTGATCCGTCCTTCACTCCCACCCTCACTTCTAATTCTGCCTGAAGTCTAATCATCCTCTAAGGGGGCGGCACGCTAGCACTATGGAACATTTTCTTGCAAACTCAGCTGAGGAAACTGGGCTCAGCACCAGACCCCCAATCTTTGGGATCTTTGGGTTCTGTTTGTTACTGTCCAGTCCAGACCCTGTCATTCTCTCTTCCTCCTTTCTCTCTTTGTCTTGGAATTCGTGGCACTTTAAATTTAGCCCAGGAGCCCAGTGGGGAAGGAAAGGCAATTTGGTGATGTGTGCGCTTCTTCCCTCATTCCTGGCACATGTAGACGGCCCTGGGGAGGCAAGAGAGCACTGGGCCCGCTGCCCGCCTCCTTCCTGCCACACCGCCTTCCCATTGCCATCCTGCCTGTTACTAGCAAGGGGCAGAGGAGGAGATGGGCCCTGGGAATATTGGCACTGAGGTAAAAGGAACCACACGTTTCCCCCACACGGAAGCTGTTCTAAGGCCAGCTCTTCTGAGCCTGAGAGGACAATTTCTCTCACGCCCCCTTTTCAGCATTAAGCTGCTTCTATGAGGTGTGGGGAGGATAACGCCATTGAGTCAGACAGGTAGCCCATCCAATCTGCAAATGGCATACGTCAGCATATGCACAATGTACAGATAAATCCCTGGATGATAATCAGCTTTGTTTCCAAAAAAAGCATATGTTCATACTAACTGGAAAAAAAATTTAACTTCAAATTGACTGTATATTTCATAGCTACAGCTCTAACTACCCATAGATATAAGAAGCATCTCTGAAGGTTTAAGAATTTCTTACTTTCCCGAGTGAATAATGGACAGTGTTTTCCAAAGTCAAATTCAAGGGCTACCTGCACCAGAATGACTGGGTACATTTGTTATAGTTCAGGTTCCTGGCTCTCTCCCACAACTTTTGATTCAGAATATCTGGGGTGTGGTCTACAAGTTTACATTTTTTAATTTTTCACAACCTAATGTAGTGTTTGGTGTTGAATAAAATAAATATATGTAAATTCATAATTTAATTATTGCACACTGTATGCATTCTTTGAAAAAAACATACTATACTGCACAAAAATGTATAATGATATATGTAAACCAGAAATCATAATTTAAAAAAAAAAGAATTCAGATCCACCATACCTGGTGGCACTAACATTTAGTAGGTAGAGGCCCTCTCAGATGGGAATAATCAAATTTAGAAAAGTATCAAGTTAAAAAGGCAAGTCATCCCCTAGATATAGTGACCCACAGATTCTGAAAATAATTCACAGATCATCCTTCAAAATATGAATTTAACCTCTCAAGGGATAAGAACACTAAGATTAGACTGTCTAGTGCAGATGAGTGTGAGAGTGTGAGTGTGAGAGAGCATGCGTGTGAGAGAGAGCATGAGTGTGAGAGGGCATGTGTGAGGGGGCATGAGTGTGAGAGGACGTGAGTGAGAGAGCATGAGTGTGAGAGAACATGAGTGAGAGCATGAGTGTGAGAGCATAAGTGTAAAAAAGAATTCAGATCCACCATACCTGGTGGCACTAACATTTAGTAGGTAGAGGCCCTCTCAGATGGGAATAATCAAATTTAGAAAAGTATCAAGTTAAAAAGGCAAGTCATCCCCTAGATATAGTGACCCACAGATTCTGAAAATAATTCACAGATCATCCTTCAAAATATGAATTTAACCTCTCAAGGGATAAGAACACTAAGATTAGACTGTCTAGTGCAGATGAGTGTGAGAGTGTGAGTGTGAGAGAGCATGCGTGTGAGAGAGAGCATGAGTGTGAGAGGGCATGTGTGAGGGGGCATGAGTGTGAGAGGACGTGAGTGAGAGAGCATGAGTGTGAGAGAACATGAGTGAGAGCATGAGTGTGAGAGCATAAGTGTGAGAGGGCGTAAGTGTGAGAGGGCATGAGTGAGAGCGTGAGTGTGAGAGGGTGTGAGTGTGAGAGAGTATGAGGGTGAGAGAGCATGAGTGAGAGCATGAGTGTGAGAGGAGTGAGGGGGCATGAGTGTGAGAGGGCGTGAGTGTGAGTGTGAGAGAGCACGAGGGTGAGAGAGCATGAGTGAGAGCATGAGTGTGAGAGGAGTGAGGGGGCACGAGTGTGAGAGGGCATGAGTGTGAGAGGGCGTGAGTGAGTGTGAGAGGGCGTGAGTGTGAGAGGGTGTGAGTGAGAGCATGAGTGTGAGAGGAGTGAGGGGGCACGAGTGTGAGGGCATGAGTGTGAGAGGGTGTGAGTGAGTGTGAGAGGGTGTGAGTGTGAGAGAGCATGAGTGAGAGCGTGAGTGTGAGAGGGTGTGAGTGTGAGAGGGTGTGAGTGTGAGAGAGCGTGAGTGTGAGAACCAAGTGCCCCTATGCAAACATATCTTGTCAGTTTCTTAATCTATTCACCTGCAGAGTGTACATTTTAGCAATCCCTCAGGTGATTCTGATGCCCACTAATGTCTGAGGAACTCCTTAAGGCAGACCATCCACAGGTGTGTTCACAGGAGGGACTCATGTTGCCAACTGTTGAAATCAGTCTCCTCTTTTTCAGTGTCTTTTTTTTTTTTTTTTAATTTCACTTTTGTATTACCAATTCCACCAACTAGAAATGTATTTGCATCTATGAGGATGTTTTCAAAACAGCTGCAGGCATTAAAGGACAATCATTCACTCATACCTTTTTGAAAAGTAGGTTTAAAAGATCACGTTTGTCCACATAATTGGCCAAGATGACTTATAATGGGAGAAGAGAGTTTTTGTTTTATTTTTCAATTTTAAGAGCAAGTAGATACTTTATTTGGCATTCAGAAGTCTTCAGGAAAAGAATAGGCCCATGCTAACTTATAAAATAAAAGCGTGGGTTGGGGAGTAGGCGAGGAGGAGGGGGAGATTATATGAGATAAACCAATGAGTACATTTGCCCATATCAAAATGTTGTGCCTAGGGCTGACCATGCACCCAGATAAAGGAAGGAATTTTTTTTTTCCTTTCTCTTCTCTACTTTCATTATTACCCTTTCACTCAAGATCCAAAATTCAGGTCAGTAAAGTCATATCAAGGAATGACAGACATCAACTGCCCGAGGGTTAAATAATTTCACTTTTGTATTTACCAATTCCACCAACTAGAAATGTATTTGCATCTATGAGGATGTTTTCAAAACAGCTGCAGGCATTAAAGGACAATCATTCACTCATACCTTTTTGAAAAGTAGGTTTAAAAGATCACGTTTGTCCACATAATTGGCCAAGATGACTTATAATGGGAGAAGAGAGTTTTTGTTTTATTTTTCAATTTTAAGAGCAAGTAGATACTTTATTTGGCATTCAGAAGTCTTCAGGAAAAGAATAGGCCCATGCTAACTTATAAAATAAAAGCGTGGGTTGGGGAGTAGGCGAGGAGGAGGGGGAGATTATATGAGATAAACCAATGAGTACATTTGCCCATATCAAAATGTTGTGCCTAGGGCTGACCATGCACCCAGATAAAGGAAGGAATTTTTTTTTTCCTTTCTCTTCTCTACTTTCATTATTACCCTTTCACTCAAGATCCAAAATTCAGGTCAGTAAAGTCATATCAAGGAATGACAGACATCAACTGCCCGAGGGTTAAATAGGCTTTTGTGGATTGTCTATTGATACAACCATATCCTAAAATACCATGAGGACGGCATGTTTATGGCAAAATGTCTTTTGGTTTCCAAATAATGCACTCCTAAGAAATTTATGATGAAACCATTTGAGAATTTGAGACTAGATCAAATGCAGATGTGTAATTTATCTGTGTTAATTTAAAATTCTAAGCTGGTTTCCCCCAGCCATCTGTATACTTTCAGTCCATTTCTCCTTGAACATTGTGCTTAGGTAATACAAAAAACTACTGGGGGCATATGGGCCCTTATAGAATTTAATCCATTCAAAAATGAAACATAATTTTACAAATTATTTCATGTTTTCAGTTTTTATGTTCTGATGTGCCTTCATTAATGAGAGTAACCAGGAGATGCCCATCCCCTCCTCCCCTTAACCCAGTTTAGGCTGCGTTATTTTGCCTTAGGTCTCCAGAATTCTATTACAAATGAACAGACTAGTAAATCGCATTTCTTCTTTCCTTCAAGGTATTGCGCAGCGATGCACAGCTATCAAGTACCACTTTTCTCAGCCAATCCGCTTACGAAACATTCCTTTCAATTTAACCAAGACAATCCAGCAAGACGAATGGCACCTGCTTCGTAAGTATTTCTAGGACAGGGTCAGAGAGGAAATGGTAGTTTTCCCAGCAAAAGGGATGCTCTCTGCCTCTCTGACGTGTGGATTGAAAGACACACTTACTCGTGTAAGCCTGTGGGCTCAATCAGACTTGGTTAGAGATGCAGAGGACCATTTCACCATGCTGTGGACACAACTGGTTGACAAATCAAGTGTGTAAAAATTGGAGACGAGGCTCTGTGTGATCCTGCAGCGTGCCTGGCTGCCTCGGTGGCATCTGTTCTCAGCAGCCTGCCTACTGAATCTTTTCTTTACCAAGTCATCCACCATGTGGATCTGCTGCTCGTCTTAGTAAACCAAGGAGAGTGTACCCTAGGTGTTCTTATTTTGTTTTGTTTATACAATATTTATTTTAGCTGCTGTGTTTACCTCAGATCTTGGTATTTCTGCTAAAATAGCTTTATGAGTGTATGTCATAATTTTCTCAGAGGGGGTCTGTTACCTCTACATCCAATGGAAGCAACCACTCTTTTTCACTGTCAGGAAAATGTGAAACTCCAGAAAGGATCATGCCTTGTGAAACTAAAGAAGCCTGAGATATACCTGAAAAATGTCGATTCAAGCTGCCTGGTGATAGCTCATGAAAGCAAATAACTGCACTGAGCTCCTTTTTGGTGTAGACCTTAATCAGAGGTTATTTTCCAGTAAAATAAGCAGCAAGGACTTTGATCTTGTTTGGTAACCCAAGCCACTGTTGAAATCCAAGCAGTGCCTGCAAATCCCTCTGTAAACCAAAACTATGTTTTGACTCTCCACCACATAAATGGAAGTTCCTATGCCACTGTGACGGCGGCAGTCTAATACTTTGAATATTATGATTGGCAACTTCAGGACATGGGAAGCCGGTAGAAAAAATGTGGTTTGCTTCTTAAGAGTATGACTTCCCGAGAAGTTCTTTATTTTGTTGGCAGATTTTTAATAATGCTTTCTCAGCAAACCTGACTTATGGTCTTATCTGAGTGTCCTTATATCTTAATTCTTTAGAAGCGTATTTGAAGTTCTTTGTCTTGATCACCTTAAGCCACATGGCTTTGTTAGTGGCTTTGGTCAGGAGAGAAAAGACCATCGCAGGATCCTGAAAAAGAGCCTTATCTCTTTAAGAGTTTGTACCCTGTTATTGCCCAGCAAGGCAACATTTGAGCATTTTCTTTTAAATCCTTTTCAGGGTTCTCATAGAACGATGCTTTTAGTAGTCTCCTGCATGGCTTTTTCTAAGAAAGTCACACCTGGTGGTCTGTACCACATTTACCGGATAGGCTTAACATGTCTGGCACCAATGCAAATCCCACGTGGAGTATATATAAACCTATGTCTTTTCATAATCACTTAAAATAGAACTATCACTCAAACCACGGGGAATTCAGAAGGTCATAAGGTAATGGTGGCTAAACTATTATTACATTTCCCCTGCTAAGATGTAGACCTCTTCAAACTGCTTATCCCTTAACTTTAAACTCAGCGTCTTTAAACTATCGCTGCCCTTGGACCTTTGCCCCTTGGATGTGCTGAACTGGAGATGAGAAATCCCCGTTAAGAGAAGGGATGGTCTGTGTGTGGCTAAGATGCTAAAAGCAAGACTGGACACTATTGTAGTCCATTGTCCATGTAGCACACCCAAGATGCCCAGGAGCTCCACGGAAATTCAATGAGGTGGCAGCTTCCTAGGCACTTCTGCCTTAACAGAGCAGCCCACACTCAAGGAGTGCTGTGTGCGCCTTGCCTAGGCTCCACGTGCCTGTGGGTGTGTGTGATCCATATGCGTTTGCAGAGACCTGTTGCCTGGCCTCAGGGGCAGCAGATACACGTTGGGGTCTTTGGTTTTAAGAAGAATCACAGACATATAGCTGACAATTTTAAAAGTTAGTTTTGTTTAAAAAAAAAAGAGGCAAAGAAGGAAGTATAAAAAGTGAAATTAAGAAAAAGGGGCAGTGAGAGTGGGCAATCGGGGTGTAATGTGCATATAGTCAGTTCAGCTCTCAGTTTGCCAAGGAGATGGCTCAGTGATCCTAATGGTGCTTTTGTGATAGAGCAAGCTGTGTTCCCATTGGATACACAGCGGAGGCTTGACCCATGGGAACAGCCCCTCATAAACTTGAGTGAATGGGCACTCCCTATGTCTTAGGGGCCACGGTGTTCATGAGTAGATGCATGTCACGTGTGTGCACTATGGGCCACTATTTCAGGCACCAGAACTGCCTTCAGGTTTTCAAACCCTTTGTGAAAATGATGGGAGTAAATGTGAATGAAAAATAAAAATCATCAGCATCCCCGGTGCTTAGATAAAAGCATATTTCACTACAGCTCACTTCTTAGACTTTCTCCACAGCCAGACTACTTAGAGCCATTACAGTGGTGACAGCTTACATTTCTATTGCTCTTTCTAAGGATGGCAAAGATATTTCTCGAACTGCCTCACTCTCAGTGTATTAACTTGGTTCCTAATACCCACATTTAGCCTGGAATTGCCCTCTGGTTTGTTCTCTACTTGACATGGGACCCTCCATGAAATCAGAATGTAGACTCTGACCCTTCCGTTGGTTAATCCTTACCCTATCTGTGTTCTTTTGTTTGGCTGTATTAAAGGAGTACTTGGGAAGAGAATTCTCTTAACCACTTTGACCTGCAAGCCCTAGTCCGGTCCCTGTAACTTACTCCTTCTCATAACTTACTCCTTCTCATGCAAAGCTCTTTATTTTCTAATTTTCAGTAATGTTCCTGACTCCTTCTGATTTTGTGTGTTGTTTCTGTTTTGAGACTAGATTTAAGAAGAATCACTGCTGGCTTCCTGGGCATGGCAGTAGCCGTCCTTCTGTGTGGCTGCATTGTGGCCATGGTCAGTTTCTTCTGGGAGGAAAGCCTGACTCAGCATGTGGCTGGACTCCTCTTCCTCATGGCAGGTATGCTGCACACCTCAGACTGCCTCCCTGGCCAGGCGAATACTGCTGTGCAGGCAGCCGGCTCCACTTTGTTATCTCCCCATTAATTCAGTTTTCACTTGTGAGAAAAGCAACCAGGAGGTCGTTTAGCCTGGCGAGTACTGCAGAATTTAAAGAAAACACCAGTGTTAGAAATGCAGCCCTGATTTCCCTATTATGGCCAGTTTATAGATTAGATGGAAGTGTCTTGAGTTTAATCTCCCTAAGAGCCAAGTCTTTTTTTGGTTTTGTTTAGTTTTTAAATTATTCATTTAATTTTATTATTATTATTATTGTTAAATTATTATTTTATTTTTTGCTATAAGGCATGTGTACTCACCAGAGAGAGACATGGAGATAGAAGGAAGGTGAGAAAGCAAGCTGCCAGATCCGGGACTTGAACCACAGTCAGCCATGTGGGAGTATAGCACTAACCACCATGCCACCTGCTAGCCCCCAAATCAAGTCTGTTTTTATGTCCAATTCTGTCATTGTATGCTCCAAACCTGTGCCTAGACACTTGACAAACAGGCCATTTCTTATCAGAAATTCTGATGGGGCAAGGGAGTGTGAGATGAGCACAATCTCCCACTCCCCCACCCCAGCTGCATGCAGGTCAGTGCAAAGTACACATCATTGATAGCATTTTTATATGGGAAATAGCCATTTGTTTTGCTCCGAAGTTTTGTTTTGTTTTGTTTTTCCTTTTTTTGAGGACTAACCATGTCCCAGACAATGCTCTAGGGACTAGAGACACATAAAGAATAAGGCAGACAAAGTCTTCACCCACTTGGATTGTGGGGAGACATAGACGATGATTTGCGATAGCGATTAAAACTGGGAAGGAAATAAACAGGGTGAATAGGAGCTCAGAGAAAGCCTTGCTGAGGCAGCGATTTTGGAGCTAAATCGTGAGAAGCTGCCGGTGGTTGGGAGTGTGCTGCAGGCTCTGGAAATCTCCAGTGCCAACCCAAAGGCAGGGATGGGTATTTAGAGGTGCAGGAAGAGGACTGATGTGTCTGGAGGGGAGCAGAAAGAAGGAGAGAATCACATGAGGGGCAGGAACAGGCAGAAGCCAAATCTTTAGGGCTTTCTTGGTCACGGTGATGAGCTTAGATCGGAAGCTAAGGGACATCGAAGCCTCTAGAAGGTTTTATGTAAAGGAGTAACTTTATTTTCAAGCAAGATATTAGGGGGCCAGATGGTGGCACAGTGGCACGCAGCGCTCTGCCATGCTGGACTCACATGGGGAGGTCCTGGGTTCATGTCCGGAGGCCTCCTTGTGCACGCAGGGTGCACATGTGCTCCTGGTCCAGGCTGGCTAAGACTAGAGTGGATCGCAGCATGAAGACCCTGTTGGAGGTGCCTCTCTCTCTCTCCTTCTCTGAAAAAATAAACTTTATAAAACAAGGAACTGGAAGGGGATGTGTGGAGAAGGAGCATATGTGGAGATGTGGCAAGGTTTTAAAATTTTTAATTATATTAACAGGTGAGGGATAGTCTTGCCTAGAAATAGTCGGGAGCTAAGCTGATGGCTAATGCTGACTGAACGTGGCTGCAGGGATGGGATCTTTTCTTCCTTCTCCCCTTCACAGAAAATGAATGGGCTAATGATTACGAGTGCCAAATTAACAGTTTCACAAAGTAAGCTCAGCCTCAGAACTAACACTGGCCTTGGTAGATAGCCGATTTTAATAAGCTTATTTCCACTTCCCTGGAGCTCTGTTACTCAAGCAGCCATGACTGGATCTTCCTGCACTTCTTACTGTCACGGGTCACTTAATCAAACCCATGTTAGAGGAGGCAGCAGCAGCCTTAGGCCTGACGCCATCTTTAACCTGCCTGTCTCTTAGGGCTGACGAGTACATGGCAATTTGCTCAGCCAGCCTGCCTCTCTAAGTGACCCCCTACCCGGGCAATAGACCCTCCCTTCTAACTCTCGTTGCCCCTTTCCCACTCTGGAAAATGGTGCCGCTACAGGATGATCCAGAAAGTGAGCCATCTTCACAAGCATCCTGAGAGAGCATGGAAGTCACTCAGACTCTGCATAGCTCTAGGCAGAACACCAATGCAGGGTTTTCAGATTTTTGGTGGCTACACAGTAGTGTCAGGATGGTAGCACCTCTAGTTCCTGAGGTTCTGGTGGAAGGTTTGAACCTTCAAGACTGGCCACTATGCCTACTCAAGGGATGCATTTAAAGTCCAGATTAGAGAGTGATGAAGTAGGTCAGCAAAGAAAAAGAGACTGTGCAGCTCAGAGGATTCCTTTAAGTCCCAACTGGTATTAGACAGCCATGAAGAATCCCTCCCACTTCTTCCAAGAAGATGGCTCAGCAATCCCAATAGTGCTTTAGTGATAGACCAACTTAACAGCAGGGCACACAGTGGAGACTTGACCCATGGGCACAGCCCCTCCTGAACTCGAGTGACGCTACAGGAAGCTCCCTTTATAAGTTGAGTCCCCATTTCCTGACCCTTGTCGCGGTGTACATCAAAGAGGTACACATTTGCTCTCCACAACCCTGGAAAGGCTACTAACCTCTTGTTGGGAAAACAGAGATGCTCTAGACTCATCAAAGCCTCAGCAGGGGTAGACTTTGAAGGACATTTTTAATATAGGTAGTGCATGAATCATTTAGGTTGCTCTTAGCATATAACATAACAGTAAGCATTAAAATAAATCACAGCATAGCAGCCTAGTGAGTGCTTCTTGGGAGGCTGAGGGCTGGTCTGGTTTGAAACGAAATGAAGATGGAAGTTCAGTGTTGGATGAGCACAGAGGAGAGCTAGGCGTTTCCTAGGTGTTGTGCTATGGGGAGGTTTTCAAAAAACTTCATGGAAGATCCATATCATGAAAAAACTATGTGTGGATTTTGAATTCTTTTTTTTTTTTTTTGCACCAAAATAAACTCACTTTAATTTCATTTTCCACCAAGTTTTCAGTCTCATATTCATTTTTCCCTTGCTGTGGCTCACTTTATTTTTAACACCTTGAAATTTCCTTTGTAAGCACAGAAATAACTATGCTAATCCATTGCACGATATAAATTAGAAGTGGGACATTCCCATGCATAGCTGGAGATGAGAGCAAATAAGGGTTAAAAGAATTGATTTTAATTAAGCAGAATGTCTTCAGCCACTCTAGTCAGCATCCCTCCCACAGATTTTTGATGCTAAACTTAGCTCCTTCTAATGTGCTGGCATCTTTATTCTCCGTCTGAACTTATTAGCCAGACCGTCGGTGAAGAACATCAATGACATGACGATTCGAGCGGTTAAAATGGAAACTTTGGAGCCATCTCTCTCCTTCTCCCATGGAAAATCCATATCATGAAAAAACTATGTGGTGATTTTTAATTTTTTTTTTTTTTTTTTTGCACCAAAATAAACTCACTTTAATTTCATTTTCCACCAAGTTTTCAGTCTCATATTCATTTTTCCCTTGCTGTGGCTCACTTTATTTTTAACACCTTGAAATTTCCTTTGTAAGCACAGAAATAACTATGCTAATCCATTGCACGATATAAATTAGAAGTGGGACATTCCCATGCATAGCTGGAGATGAGAGCAAATAAGGGTTAAAAGAATTGATTTTAATTAAGCAGAATGTCTTCAGCCACTCTAGTCAGCATCCCTCCCACAGATTTTTGATGCTAAACTTAGCTCCTTCTAATGTGCTGGCATCTTTATTCTCCGTCTGAACTTATTAGCCAGACCGTCGGTGAAGAACATCAATGACATGACGATTCGAGCGGTTAAAATGGAAACTTTGGAGCCATCTCTCTCCTTCTCCCTTACTGCATGCAGACAGGTCTTGATTACCCACACGTGGGATAGCAGCACTGCCAATTCTCAAGTCACATCTGGGAGCCAATCTCGCCCTTTTCCCTCCTCCCTGGGGTCTTGCAAAATGTTCTCTAGCAGGGCCAGCAGCAGGCCTCACCTCCCTCAAGGACATTGCACTTACTCTCTTGATGTCCTGTCTTCTGAAGTTGTACACGCACAGGCACAGAGGATTGATTGACACAGGGAAGATGACTCTTGTCTTCCAGCTTTAAGCTTCTGCCCATTGCTAGACCATAATACTCTCCTGTCATTGTGAAGAAATATTTCTATCCACATTGAATGATGCATTCTGTTATAACCACAGTAATTAATTATAACTTAAATGGTAAATATTGAAAGGGTTCATTTATTCCATGCAACCATTTTAAAATATCTTTAAGATGCTATTACAGGATTTTTACTATCTTTAATACATTGGGAGACTTGAAAATTGCAGAAAGCATGGGCCTCCCTTGGTGGGGTGTCATTGCCCACTAGATCCATCCTCCTTTACAGGGTGTGCTCCCAGGGGCCACTGTCATTTTGGAAGAGCACACACGGTACATAACACTCCTGTCCAGGTAGCAGAGAGAGGAGACAGCCCTGGCAGCTTCTGGGGCAGTTAATACTTAATGCTGGCTATTCACTTCTTTGTTTCTATAAATCCAAATGAAAAAAGACTGCTGTAGGAGGTGTACTGAATTATCCAGGCTATCCATTGATTATGGCCTAGAGCTACAGATCCATAATACCTTAGCCAAAACCCCTGGGGCCAGATGTGTTTTGGAACTCAGTATTTTAAAAACTTTATTTCAGAAAGTAACCTTCTGGGACCAGTAATTGGTGTAACGGCTATGTCACTGGACTCCCATGTGAGCCCAAGATCCCAAGAATGAAGGAACTCTTTAAAATGAACTCTTTAAAAATACTCAGGTACCTATAAAGAAGTCTGTCCCACAAGCAATTAAAAAAAAAAATCTGTCCAAGCTGTAGATATAACTGATGGTATTCTAATTTACAAAAAATAGAGAGGCTAGGGACCAGCAGTTAGCGTAATGGCTATGTCATGAGTCCTGGACCCGGTGGCTTAAACTGACGCCCGGCGCATGTGCGTGCACGTGTGCCCCAGATCCCGAGAGGAGAATGGCGGAGAAGGG